CCTCCAAGCTCGTGGAGGGGAGAAGTCTCAAAACACCTACCTTGAGGGGAGGAATGTGGCGGAATTGGCCTTATCAAAAGAGAAGCTCGAATTCTGTTAAAAGCCTTTTTCTTGTTTGCATCTGGCCACGCCTTTCATGAAATATATGTCGATGTTAACCACTATACTACCGACGTAACACAGCACAGTACAACACAAAACTCAAACTTTGATCTATAATAATAATTCGAATCAAAGTATTTAGTGCTCACAACAAACGGAAAATGCTGACGTCTCACAATTGAAGGGACAAAAATAATCAAAGATAATTCAATTGGATGCATTTCTGCCTACTGCTCAATGACTTATGACAGAGAGCGTTCGGAAACATTCCTAGAATTCATCATCATGCTAAAATCACCTTCTTATTCTCGTCCGTTCTAAATAAAAGGGGACCGCTTTTATGATAAGTTATCGGTTTTGTCTTCTCGAGTTTGGACAAGTCGATCATTGGTTAAGTGAGCATATTGAAGGTACCAAAGCCTTCACTCCTAGATACTTCTTTGCGTTCTCTCTTCTTAGCAATTTAGAGTTAAAAGCTGTCCTTTACAGAACAGGGGTGTTTGCTAACCTGTTCACAAAGCGGGAATCAGGACTATCGTGTACGTTGGTACCAACACTTTTAGTCCTCCTAAATTTGAAAAGGCGCCAAGGTCGAGAATTTGAAAGTCGATGGAGGAGAGATCGTCTAAGGTTTTACAACTTTCTAATCAATTTTAAAGAAAGGAGATAAAAGAAATTAAAATAGGACATTATTTAAAACAAAAGGGTTAAAAGAAATGAAGCACCGATGAAACACAGATTTCACGATATGAGTTTCAAAACTAACCGATCGACCACGTCAATTCCATTGAGCAATGCTAGAGCAACAATTGACTTGCTCGCAGATGGGATTCAATGCCCATCGGTGACACTTAGAAAAATATCGACCCCCACACTGGCTAAATTTATTTGATGAATCGGTGTCCGGATTCGTGTTATTTTGCAAATTCTACTTAATAATAGCGTTGGAAGACCTTCCCCCCCCCCCGCCCCCTTCCAGTGAGCATGGGACATAGACCTTTTATACGTAGTTAATAGCGGTGTACAGAAGAGAGTTGCACAAGGGGTATCTTATCGGACTGCGGAATAAAATCCTATAAAACGCGATCATCACTCTAGCTTGGCTTTTAGCTGTGTCCATGACAAGATGTTCACGTTTCTCCGACCACTCCCCCTCCCCTCCCCTCACCACCCACCTTGTAAAGAGACTTGTATATTGTTAAGTTTTGTTTGTTATGCAAAGTAAACTGTAATCAATGCGTTAGGGGAAAAATATGGCGAAAGTTTGCTGCATGATGAGTGAAAAGGTAGTCACGGCAAGACAAACATTTTGTTGAAGGTGAATTGAATGGGTTTACAATGATGCGCATAATTTAATCAAATAGCAAGAATCAAATAAATCAACAGCGATTGCACATGGTTATGACATAAGTTAGGATATGATGGATTTTCAAAGCTTATCCATCATTTCCTACAAGTTAATCGCTTGGCGCTGAAAAGCCATCTGATAATATGTTCTCCGCTTTGTAAGTTGTGCACCTCGAGAACGCTCCGAAAACACTCCTTCTAGTAAATCTATCTGCAATATACACACAGAAGTAAAATTTCGAAAGTTAACCCTTTAACACCCTGCAGGATCGTACGGTCCTCCTTTCAAATAAACTCCATTGGTACTAGACTCGTAACAGAGGACACTGTTGACCTAATATCACCAAAACTCATCACGTCGGCGACATCAGTCTGCTGTGAAACAAGTATGATGAGTGCGGTTGGATGCATCTTTTCGGAAAAAATCCGACACTAAAGGATTAAAGACTACTGAAAAGGGCTTGATCATTATGGTACCCGCGCACTCTGACTTATAGGCCTGCTCTCAGTCTCCTATCAACTCATATTCAATTACCATTGAACAAAGAATGTGAATTTAGGCCATTGCGGTTTTCCTCCCAATACCATTGTCAGGTACCAAGTTTCGACGCTTCCCACTTCCAATTTTTTACATCCCTCGCTCTCATTCACTCTCAACGATTGTCCAAATCATTATCGTGGTTCATCTCTGTATTACATAGTGTTAACCTGAAAGTAGTATCACTTAAGATTATAGGTTCCTTACCCTCACCGGGCTGCTACTCTAGAGTTCAAAGGGAAGAAGAAATGATTCCCCAACCCCCCCCCCTCCTCTACCCCCAATTGAAAATTCACTGCAAAATTTGTTCTTCTATGAGTGGAAGAAAATTAGTCCCTCCATTCAATGAAAATGCATCTGTAGGAATTCTAATCAGTGCCACTTGATGCGAAAAGACACATGCCCTAACCACGGAATGCCATTTTATTGGCTCCTTCGTGAAACACTACGAAAGATACATGGGCAGTGATAATAGCTTAGCATTAATATTAATAGATGACTATCAGCTAAGCAATGGCAGTATTTGTTGAGACAGCTGCTACTACAACTACGGAGCGAATCTGATTGTAAAAGTGCAGGTTTGGGAGGGGGGGGGGGGGGGGGGGCAGAATAAATGTGACATTTTACGCATTCCTCGCAGTAGAAAGGTGGTTTAGAAAAAGAAGAGAGCATAACAATAAATGAATGTTTGACTTCACTAACTTCCAGCCACTTGGGTAATTAATAAACGAGGCCAATGCCGCGAGCATACAATAAATAATGCAGTTATTTCATTTACAGTGACAATTACTTAATCAATACTGACAATTCGAATTAAGTTGGAAGACCGTTGCAAGGGGGGGGGGACCACGATGTAGAAAAGGAAGAGGAATCAAAAATGCTGTCATGGAGTATCCTTATTTCAAAAAAATCCTCTTTTGAATTGAATTTGAAATTTTTCAAGTCATAATTACGCGACAATTAGTACCGATATGGAATCCCCTGACACAGTCTCCATATTACTGGAGCAGAAAGCCTAATGGCGACGGGCGTTAAAGTCTCCAAGGGGTAATAACGCCATCAAATATAAATTAAAATAAAGTGAAGATATTTTTCACCTTCTAAGGTTTTATTGACAATGACTCTACTGTCTCAATTACTAATAAACTCAAATCTCCCCTTTACCCACCTGATCTATATTATTTGGTAAATAGAAAGATGACCATCGAACATTAACAATAGCCTTAGGCCGATTGAATTCCCATGATTAGTCTTTGGTGCATAGACGGTGCTGAAAATAGAACAGTAGAAAAAAACCCCGATCATAGTCTAAATGAGGCTGGTTGAAAAAAGGAAGATCATCATGGTAGGGAGTGAGAAGTAGAACGTAGGTGGGGTATCTTGTCATGAGAATCAGTGTGTTACAGTTAAGTACGATCATTGTTTTTATCATCCATTCAAGAAACTGATTTAAGTCAGAATTCAATTGAGAGAACAATCACTAAAAGATCAACTCATTTTTGCATAAACTGTTAAAGTACATCCTATGCAAAAAAGCCAACTTAAATTAGTGCTGCTAAAGGATCAGGCTTATATGTTCAATGCTAGCAAGAATGAGCATTGAATATATGCATATATATATACATATATACATGCGTGCGTGCGTGCGTGCGTATGTGTGGTGTATGCGGCACCAGTTAACGTCACATTCCAAATATGCGCCCCCCAGCACATGTGTGGCTGACGGTGGCGATGGTTGCATTATTGGCCTCAATCCTGGAATATAATTAGCAGTTTCAAATGACCATCCGGCGAGTTGCCGATGGAGCTTCTGGATGAAAGAAAAACCTTAAGAAGTCCATACAATTGCCTCCCCTCTAAAATTCGCTTCTTTCTGTGCCAATAGAATTGAGAGATTTTTGACAACCTGCATGGAAGTAATCAAATCCTTTGGGGCACTAGCTTCTTCTCTCACCATACTTTAATACCCACAGGTGTGAGTTAAGTCTAATCACTGCCAAATTGTTGGCGTATTATATTAGCATTTGCACATCTTTACTAGTGAAATTAATCTTGAGTGAATATTTGCTCGTTTGGCTTTGCCTAGTTTCGATTTACTGCAGTCGTAGATGTACTTTGAGAGGCATTAAGCAAACAATGTGCCAATAATAAGATTGAGATAAGAGTTTGTTAAATGAAAGTCCTATTTTAGTAAGTGGAATAGTGGATTATAACGCAGTGAAAGATGTAGAAGAAAGTGGAACCCGGACTTTACGAATTGAATTACATGATAACCTCTCAATGGGATATTAAATTGGATAGGATTTACCCAACCTCCCCCCCCCCTCCCACTTGCTGACCTCAAATCTTTTTCTTTTGCCTATCTAAGCAATGGTATTTGACACGGCATAATGAGGTGCGAGATCTTGACAAGACGCGTGTTCTCAGGATTTTAGGAGATTTCTACGCAGTTCCTACCACAGCATAGTACCTAATATGTTTATCGCATTAGAGAGAGCAAGTTCGATCAATACTGTGCATTGACATTAAATGAAAAGTCAAACCCTTGCTGAATGACAGGGGGTTTAAATAATTTAAAGCGAATACCAACATCAGTACCTTTTCACTGACAAAGACAATGTTGGATGACATCCTTCAACAGGCACGAAAATTAATGTTTTTATTACCTACTAGAATGTAATTTATGAAATTCCTCAAAGACGATTAAAAGGAGAATAAAGTTGATTCATTAATACTCCCCCCTATCCTATCTAGAAGGTGCAGATCAGTTGTTCACAAGTCTTTAGAAGAGGGAATTTGCGCTTAGGAAAGGTAAGTGAAAAATTAGTAATTATAGCATAAAAAATAATTATTATTGCCAAAGTAGGTTCTGCCCCGAACCCTTTACTTTGATTTTGCATTCAATAAGAAGTTGTTTAAGTAAACCAACAAGGTGCATCTTTTTTTAACATTAGAGTTAGTGTATCTTACAATATTTCGAATTATTTTTTTAATGTGATATTAATAAAAATGTTTAATGAGGGGAAATGGAGAATAAATTTACCCACCTTGAATCATAATTTTTGGTTCCTTTGTCGAATTTGAATGTTGGCGGGAAGGTGATTTCACCTTCTTTGAAATCGAGGAAAGCCAACTGAGATTCCATGGCTTTCTTCAACTTAAAAAGAGAATAAAACAAAATGAAAAATATGTTAGAAACTTGATTACTTCTGAAAGCACGCGCAAAAGATCTAAAGAGGGCAAAAAACTTCTCGACTGAATTAATTCCTACTAATTTGTGTTCGAGGGGTGCACGATAGACTTACCTCTACGTGGTGCACCCTGGGCAATGTATTGCATAAGGCAAAAAAGCCTATGAACCGGCAGATGACTTCAAACTATCATGACCCGAGTGAATGTCATATTCTGCCACTTCGCAGTACTCACCTTACCTTACCCTTTTCTCCACCTTTGTGTCTATCTCTTTTATATCTGTGAATCACTTGAATTGTCCTTCTCCTTTGTGAAGCCTGAAGTCAACTAAAGGGCTAATGATAACTATTTAATGATAACTATCCAAACGTGAAGCCTGAAGTCAACTAAAGGGCTAATGATAACCATCATAAAGCCTGCCATTTGATAGAAATTAATTCTGTTCTCATTATAACTGTTTAGATAGAAAAGCAGGGTGACAACAGGAGAGTGTCAATTATGCTCAAGTCGAAGTGCCTCTCAAAGGGATTTTATCAAGCGACTAGGCACTGAATGAAATTTCCAAGGCTGGGGGGGCGAATATCAATAGGTTGCAAATTCCTAATTGTGCTCATTAGGAAAAGCGTCTTAACTCAATGCCAAGCCGTAAACATTAAGAGAACGGAGATTGCATTACCACCCAAGTCGCGAAACTCGGTGTAATTCAACATATTCTTTGCCACAGCACTTTTATATGAAGCAAACTGCAAATTGAGCTCTTTACGATAAAAGGAAGATAAAATAGAAGTTTATCTATAAAGATTATCTTCGTTAATTAAATGGGGGGAGGGTGGAGAGTGGTAAGGATTAACATTATGAATCACCAAAATTTGAAAGTTCCCTTACACAAGCACACAAAAAACACAATATTATTATTCCCCATTTTAAGTTATATTACACTTACTTTTGATGCGTATAAGGCAATCCCGCATTTTGAATAAATAGATTAAAAACGAGAAGAATAGGTAAAGCCAATTGACCTCTTTCAGAAACTAGTCAAAAGGCAATACATCAAACGTGAATTTGGGAAAGTGAACAATAAGTGGATAAAACAAAAAGAGAAATGCAATGCAACTTTTAGGTAGTTCGATTGTGCACTCAAAGTAAATTAAACTCGCCAACTCCCCCCCCCCCCCCCCCCCCCCCCCCGACTCCCTTTATAGCTTCGGAGGCTTCAATATTACTCGATTTCAGTTGCATGTGTCATGAAATGTAAGTGCTTTGGCCCCATCCTTGGGGCTGGAGGGAGGGGGGGGGGGCGGGGTGGGGGGTTGGACAATTGACTGAATTAGCTTAATCACTAATAGATCAGGATGACATTAAGAAGGGGCATGGATGACAAAACAAAAGTAAAGAAGAGAAAAAGCGAATTCAAGCTAAAAAAAATTTCCCCATGGAGAACATCACGCGAAGTTTGTGGAAGAAAATGTTTGTTTGTTTATAAAGAAAATTTCATTTAGGAGGGGGGAAATTAAATTAGTATATATATATATATATATTACCCAATTCGTTTACTTACGAATTAACAATGGATTCAGAGAAGTTCCAACTGATTGTAGATGATTAAGATATTTAGTCTGGCCGAGTAGACATTAAAGTTATTGCTAAAATTGGCCTCATGAGATCGACTAGACATTTTATTAAGCGCTCATTAGAGCTGAACCGATACTTTGCGCACTAAATATCAGCGAATAAAACGATCACGTACACACTTAACTGCTAATACACACATGAAAAAAAGAAATAATGATATTATTATGAAAAGAGGCGTTAAAAAAGGTGCTTTCTCCCCCTCCAGCGTTAAGAATCGAAAGATCACAAATCGGGTGTTGGTAACCCGATTACGCTGGATACGTTGGGGGGGGGGGGGGGGGGNAATCACAATGTTCCACATCACCTTTTTGTGGGGGGGGGGGTGGGCGAGGGTGGAGTGGGGAATGAGGGCGCTTTTGAAAATGCATCGGGATGGGCCGCCGATTAAGTCAAAACTGTTAGATGTAAATTACTATTGAAACCACAATCCTAGTCGATTTTAAACAAACTTTAATGCGAATTTTGGAATGTAGAAATATTGAATAAAAAAATGTCTTCTTAAGTTTTAGTTTCTTGCCATCTTTGACGGCATATTTTATTACCAAAAATTATTAGGATTACTTCAAATTTGCTTATTAATTTAGACGCTCTACAGTTTGAAAAATGTGAGATGTAAACTTCGTCTCAATATGGGCCAATTAAGAGCTGCTTTTGAACTTTGCGGCACTTAAGCAACAAGAAATTGCAAGCCTTCGTGTACATGGGGGTCGGTTTGATTGACACCTCCTCCACACCTCCAAGCCCAAATTTCTTCTTAAAAACTAATCAACCGCATAAATTGTCCTAGTAACCTGAAGGTGAAAAAGAACCAAGATCTTTCGTGGAATTCATGAATAAGTCGTTTACACCTTTCCACCCCTCTGGAGAGTCAAAAAATTGGCATCCAAGTTGCATTTTTATACAACCATTAAAGGTTCTTTTTAAATGAATGAAATTCACTATGATAATATGGGTACATTCGTTGGTTGTATGTAAATAATCTTCTAAGCAAATATACCTGGCAATGGATCGTTATTAAGCCCTCAGTTGACTTGTGTTCCAGAAGGACATATTCGTCCGTTAAAGCCAAATAGAGACGATAGGCCTCGGGAGCTTCTAGATGGGAAACCGCCTTCATTGATTACCTTACCTAAACCCTCTCAATTGTCCGTTGAATGTACGTAGATTGTTGGCTGATATGGACATTCAAAATGAACTTCACAAATAATGTCGAACTCAATTGATCGGAAAAACTCTGACCACTAATCATGCTTCTTTCTGCACTTCTTGGCGTAAGTTCATTCCAGATCACAATTTATTTACTGAAGGAAGTTGCATTTGATGTTTATTGACAAATGAGTGCAGATCAGTAGAATAAGTATTGTATTTATAGAAATTACACTGACGCCATCACACATTGCAAATAGTGAAACCAAAAAAAACAATATTCAAGACTGAACAAAGACAACTTGCCACCGGAACAGATAGCATATTCACAATGTAACCTATTTACATTCCTTAAATCACACGCACGGGCGCGTCTTGAATCAGTGTCAATTCATCACAATTTCAAGGTGACTCTCCCTCTACCTCTACTCATGGTTTGACAACTCCTCAGGGGTGCAAATTGATTGATTTCAATTTAGGCTTAGTTGACAATACTCACAACATCACCATACCTGATCATATTCAAGAAGTTTCTTGATATTCTTCGAGGCAATCAGCCTCTCCGCTTGATCCTTCTTTAAGCCCTCTGTTCGAAAGTTTAAATCACCCATCCAAAACACGTAGCTGAAGAAAGGAGTATATAAATTCATTGAATCGGGTCAAAAGATCATGGAGGCTGCTTGCATAGGTAATGAGAAAGTAGGTAACTCACTCATGATCCATTAGGGTATTGACATCCGGATCACGGAATGTCTGACCTTTCAATACGTCTCGATAGTCCTAAAAAGATAGTAAGAAATATATATCGGTACCTCAAGAACTTACATTAATTCGATCTTCCAAATTTTCAGTATGAGGAGTGAAGTGTGCAGATACAGTGGCCATATTGACTCCACAGATTTCAAATCGGATACTACAAGCTCCTTTATTACCCTGATGTGGGGAAGAGTTTGGGGAAAAAATGACAATCTACCATAATACCCGCATAGCCGAAAGCTGATAACTCTGATTCAATATTATTGATGTCTGGCAGAAGGTACCGCTTTACAAAGGCATATATCCATATGGCCCAGCAATTTCTTTGCTTGATCTAGAAGGAAGATGATAGAAGAAAAGGAATTTAACTTACGAGGACATAGTCCAATGGAGCCATAACGAGTCTTATAGCTTCATACCATTCGTCTGACCGGACAACTTCTTGTAACCTAAAGGAAGAATGTGTTAGACAGGAAAAAGGTGGGAGCCTACCCAAGGAAGACGATATCGGGATGAGGATTGGTATCGACACCAAGCAGTTTGTCTAGACTTTTTTCTGGTGGTGATTCGTCTCCTACATTCCACGTACAACAGTAGACACTACGGAAATAGATATTAAAAAGGCCATTTAAAATGAAGCGAATCCGCGTGTTAGTGATTTCATGACTATTTCTAGTCGTGTAATCGATTTGCAACTGTTTCTATCCACCACATACTGAGCTTCTTTTAATAGAAAGAAGCTCCGCTTAATTGCTTCCTCTTCCTTCAAGTGAATAATCGATTCTGTCTACTGTCTAATTCGTGCACACTGAACTTATCTCTATTCTATTAACTGTCGTTTTCCAATTTACTAGCTCTGAGACAGGGCCTTATCTACTCTTCCGATATAATTGTCTGGATACTATTTCAATTTCTTTACATAGAACTTTGAGAATGTAGCTAGTTTTCTCCCTTGAGTTAGTGAATCCTAAAAAAAGCTATCTCTTTGCTGCATAATGCCTTGACAAATTGAAGATGGACGAAGACAGAGATTAAGTGTTCCGTTAATCATGAGCATTGTTATGGCTAGTCTCTATTTGATTGACGCGGTTGACAGGAACAGAGGAAAATTGACAATGCTCGTATTCATTCCATAATTGGTTTGTAGTAATTTGGGATAGTATTTATTCCAGAGATACTTATATAAGTTTGCTTTAAGTGAATGCGTAATTTTATAGGCACTCTTCTTCGATCTAGCCAAGGGCAAACGTCAAGCTGACAAATTCTGTTGTGAAAAAGACAGCTTAACCTGCAAGGAATATTTTAAGCTAAACCGCTGGGTGCAAAAATAGCTAACATCATGCAAACTATTGGAACGCATGACCTTTATCACTTACGCAGGAAATATCATTTCGTTTTTTTAATTCGATTTACAAATCCCCCCCCTTCCCCCTTCCCAATTTCGTTCCCTGGAGGTTTTCTTAAGGGAAAATTGTTGCCTGCAATTATTTTCTTCACAAGTAACTACCCTTCATTGGATGTACAGTGGATGCAATGATTAGCATTCTACAATCCCACTACCTGCTAGATATGATCCATTCAACAGTCCTTCAGGTAGTCTACATCAATGTACTGAATTATTAATGCAATCGGTCTCCTACGTGAGTCAAACTTCAACGATACACGCAATGGCCATCATTTCTTATCGAATAATCACAGGAGAAAATATATATGAAGCAAGAGAAGGTTTAAAACAAGTACTCACGATATCTTTGAAAAGGATAATAGGAAATGAATCAGGATTTACTTACCTAATAAGGATAAATGGCAATAAAGACAAAAGACTCCCAAACGGATAAAGAAAAGTCATAACAAGTGAATGCCATCTACTTCATTCTAGCATAGTTGCACGATTTTTTGAAATTTTTTGGCCAAAAAAATGCAAAACAATTGGTCTCATTTCATCTTTAGTGATCTCTCAGATTGCAAGAGAGCCCAAGAAATAGAGGTTAGTAAGGGATTTGCTAGCAGATGTTTAAGTAAAAGAGTACGTGTAATGGGGCACTAGTATCGGAGACAATATTCACGTACATTTCCTTAATTTACTAAATTCACAGGAGGGGGGGGGGGGGCAGAGTGCTTATTCCATTTACAACCCATCCCTCATTAACAATTCACCTGATTTTCAACAATGGAAAATAGGGATAATGGCTCATTGCCTTCCACACTATCTCATTACATAACATGAAATCAGGGAGCATGTGCATCGCCTAAAAAAAAACAAATATAATCTACCCAACGTCAGTGAGTTTAATTGGCCCTTGGCCTTATTTTTGGCGCTTTTCTTGTGAAAACTTTTTTTTAAATGAACGCCCCTTTTTTCAACGCCAAATAATTAAGGGAAGAGGGAAGGAAAAGTGAGAAATGAAGGCAATTTTGTCTGCTGCCTATAAAATATTTAGACAGTTGAGAGTACGCAGATAAAAAGGCCAAGTAGCCTTCAGTTGACAGAAACTGAGCCGAACGCAAGTAACTGAGGATTCATAGTTAAATGGGATTCAACCGATTTAAGCTGAACGACATCGAATGCCATTAAAAGTAATAATTGCAGAGTTAGCAGTTAAGGCATTTTGAAGGGGTACAAAGCCGACTCGAGACCAAACATCTGCTAGAAATCCCAAGAACTCGACGGGAAAACGACTGTATAACTTGTTTATATTTAGAAAATGGTGATTCAGCGAGCAGATTTACTTAATTACATAAACTAAGGCTAATTAAACGCACTAAAGCGCAGAATAATATTTTCATCCAACAGGAAAATACTAGGATTGTAGTCACAAAACGATTTATAGACAACGATTGCAATTAGAATAAAGGGAAAAGGTATTGGAATGAAGTGAAAAATAGCAGTGAGAAGAAGTCTTCAGCTACTGAGTAAGTTTATTGACCAGAAAATAATGAAAATATTAAGATTTATGAAAGTATGTAAAGGAGATATATTTAGTAGCTAACATAGATTTCAAGCCTATCAAGTTTCGAACTCACAACAATAATCAAGTAGAAAACTATTCTCACGAAGAAAGGGATAAAAGATCCTATTGTTATTTTTTAAAAAATAAATACTAGAACCGACGTAAACATTAACAAGATTATACGTTTAGATTGAGACTGGAAGACTCTTATTCAGGTATATCATGCTCACGAGCGTGAAGAATGAGTAATAGAATCAAAATTAAATAGTTTGAAAATACTGAAATTAAGTGGCAACAAAAAACGTCTTTTGAAATATTTTTTGGAAAAATAGTAAAAATATTAACACAGATATACATGGATGTATGTCATTAAAAATGATATTGTAAATTTGACTTATTTGATATTTAAATAGAATACGATAAGTGCGTAAACGTTACTTAAAACATGGGTCTTTAGACTATGTTATTAATTTAAATTACAAGTAAAGTTGAACAACACTAGATATTTGAACGAAAATTCATCGAATAGAATAGGAGGAAAAATACAAACTAACAATTACGATTAGTAACACATAACAGACTTAAAAATAAAATACCCAAAGAAGGAAACTATCTGCCGAAGAATTTGAAGTTATATAGATAAGTTAAAGCAATATTCCTTTTGGTAGTATTTTTGTATATTTGTAAATAATTACTTGGTTAAAGAAACTTATGATGAAGCCACGCCAAACAAACAGGTCAAATACTAAAATAATAAATTTAAGATAGATAGAAAATGAACATAAAGACTTTCCAAAGCAACAAAAACTTTTAATCTTCATTAGTCAAGACGATCAAAAATAAAATTGGTCCATAGGATACTGCAAATAAAGTTAAAGTTTATAGACGCTAACCAACCTGATAAAGCCCATCACTTTTGATCTACTGGTCAAGGACACGGGTATAAACGTAATAAGTAAAAGTATAAGGTTTGTATTCGCAAATACTTAAACAAAAGATTGCGGCAGTATTTAAGTTAATTTATATGGTACAATAATATTTTCGCTCATTAATTCATACAAATTTTTTAATGCATTAAATTCATTGCATTTCCAAATTTAAATTGAAGAAGATATAATTTAAACTGCTTAAAGTAATTTCATATGAAAATTTGTTGGCTTTACGTAATTAAACCTAGGTGTATTGGCTCATTTGTTTTAACGTCTTTTCGATGCTGCGCAATTTTAAAATGTTCCTCTTATTTTGGTTTTCGATTTTTTTGGTACCTTATTATGTTAATGCCCAAGGATCTCTCAGTTTGAATGTCAATAATTGGACAGCGATTACATCTGGGGAATGGATGGTCAAATGGTGAGTATTATAATTATTTTTCCAAAATTTTACCTTGAACGTTTCATTTGTTTGCTTTTGCCTTTTCGTCGTCAAAATCTAATTTTCCATTCTATCATAGCTAAAGCTTTATTTAATATGCGCAAATTTGGTCGTTACGAATTTTAGTCACGCACCATGGTGTCCCGCTTGCAAGCTCGTTGCCCCTGAATGGGAAAAATTCTCAGCTCTGGCCCCCAAATACGATATAAAAGTTGCGGATCTAGATTGTTCCTCGGAATCTGCAGTTGCAATGATATTCACAATAACCTCTCTTCCCACAATCTTCCAGTGAGTTATTCTCATTTCTCATCTATGATTCATTGTTTCTTACCTGATATTTTTAATTTCCAATATCCCATTTTGTCTTTGATTATAGTGTTAAAGATGGCGAATTCCGTATCACGAAGGGAAAACGAAAGGCTAGCGAATTGATTGATTTCATTGAGAAGCGTGAATTCGAGCTCATTGAACCTGAGTCATGGTACCTTCATCCGAAAGCCATTTAGTGAGCATATTTGATTTTGAGATATGAAATGTTTGTTATTCGTATAAGAATAATATAACTGCTTTTATATAATTTAATTTTTAGCACTCCTGCTGTTGTTCGATTTCTTGACCTCTGTCTTTCAATCACAGTATGTACTGTTTTATACAAGTTTTTTTGAAATTATTTGGATCATGACTGTTTTAGTCTGATGTCAAATTTAAACTGGATTTAATGAAACAGCCCATTTTGTCCTGGTATTTTTCTTTTAAAATTCATTGCAACTTTGAAAAATACCTATAGAAAACTAATGAATGCAATTTAAGTTTTGATTTAACTTTTTTATTTGCTACTTATGTTGATTGAAACCTCTAAAGGTAAGTTTCTATTTCTTTTATGGCACGTCACTGCGTATTAACCGCATTAAACTTTGGTCTTATGAGAGGATATGGTGAGAAGTTGTCAATTTTGAATCACTAACCTACGGTCGAAAACTCACATGTTATGTGAGTCCATTTGTTAATATTGATCAAAGCCGGTTTCCGTCTTATCTGAAAATGCCCTTATGAATATATGCGAAAGAAAAAGAATAGGATCCACAAGTGAATTCTTTTTGCCTATTACGCCAATTATTATTGACATTAGTTCTTGCATCCCTTTGTTTAGTTTTGCCTGGCCATTAATTTGCGTCCTTTAATTCACCTAGAAAGCTCATCGTGCAATGGTTGCGTACGGTGTCCCAGCAGCTCTCTCAATTGTTCTTGTTGGAACTGGCGTGCTTGCCTCTGGAGCGGCTTTGGGAATGGTAAGTATTCATTTGCCATTTTAACAAATTTATCAACTTAAATATTGATAACAAGTTTCTCAATTTTTTCCCCTAGCTCATAATCTGCATTTGTGAATATTTCTGTCCACCTCGACCACAAATCCTCAATGTTGTTGGAATGGAAGGCGAGCCACCACAACCCATTGTTACAAAGGAAAATGTAAGCACTAAACCTCTCGAACATTTACTTTTATTAATAATTGCTATCCAATTATGGTTGTCAGAGCCAGTAATACGAGCTTAGTTTATTTGATCTCTGTATTCTCCTTACTTGCTCTTGATGGTGTTTCTCTTGTTCTATTTCCTCATCGGTACCTCCGGCCCTCTAGAAGTAGATGAGAGCGAGTCCTATGAGGTTCTTTTTAGTATAAAATCCTCTTATTACTTAAAGGCACTCTGTAGCACAACCACGCCACTTCTTCATGAATTGCATTCGGTGGAAGTCTTAATTTACTCGTGCTTACTTTACCCGGCCTTTAAATTTAATCAATCTTGACACATTTTTTCGCAACTACCGATAACAGTGAACTCTTATTGATATTATTAATTGGGATCGATTAGCTTCTTTGCGTGGATTAAACAGTACAATGGTGGCCTGATTACTTCTCCTACTATTCGAAACTATGCCAATCGGTGGCTGGAGAGTACTAGAAGTCTCTTAGCAACCGGAGACTACCAATTGGGGATCATAGTCATTTATAACTTAAGTTAATTTCATGAGTAAAAATGAGCTGATTAGTTGTGTTATCATTGCTGTATTAATGCATTGGTAGTTAGCCAATATACCTTTTTTGCTACAATGAGTTGCAAACTGGTATTTCTATTGCGATTCTTGAGAATCTGAATGAAGTGGTATTCTAAAGCAATTTTTTTCATTCTCGCCCCCGTGTATTAGAACAACCTCTTCTGTTCGTACTCGATAACAAGTTGGTGGTGGATGAAATGGGTTCTAAATTACCCGCCCTTTAAAGAGGCTTGTGCTCGTCAAGACGATATGAAAATTACATTTAACAACTAATGGCATTAGAATTAAGTGATATGCAACACTTTGTGATTTGTGAATCTCTCTCCGCTATTGAGAATGTCTTATCAAATGGTCCGATTACTTTCTCCGCCTATCGCAACTAGTGACAGGCGGTTTTATGACATTCATATTCCCAGAACTCTAATACAGATTATCCCTTTATATATGTTGTTTATGGATCTTTGCAGCTGTGATTCAATCTACCTTTGCTATTTCATAGGATACGGAGCAGGACATTGTTTTGGACGATAGTGAGGATAGTGGTTGGACAGAGGTGAAATCTCCAGCATCGAAGGAATCTCCTACCGTGCGTCATCGTAAATCCAAGAAGTAGTCTTCCACATCACTCCCCATCCGCGCCCCCTTATGGCCTTTTCATATCCAAAATTCACGGGATTTTTTTCATCGTAAACTTAACACTTCGAGTTCGTCATATTTTTATTTTTCCTTTTCTTTCCCTTGATATATGTGTTTTTTGTTAGTTTTTAAGGTCTGCTCTCTCTCCTTGTAAACACACTCCGTCTTTGTACTTTGGAAAACTGTCCTCATTTGCTTGTGAGATTAAAACGTTTTTTTGTTTAAACTGCGTCTCTTTCAGTAGTGATGGAGGTACTAACGCTGTGATTAGCTTTGGGGAAAATACTGGGTGAATGTACTAGAAATATCCATCAAGTCAAGTGCATTTGAAGATCGGTTATGTGATTGTTATTATCATGAGATTGCACGAGCTAAATTTCCTACCTTATCGCAGGAATTTATGATATCGTTTATTCATATGATCAATAAAGTATGCAAATGGGGCGATTTTTTCAGTAAATGAAATTACTGTATGCTAACCACTTTCCTAACAAGACTCCGAGTGAACAAAGCTCAGAGGTGCTGTATTTCTTTTTTATTACCTCAGGCTAATCAACTCCCACCTATTGTTAGCATTCCATGTGCGGGGGACTTGACACTCAACCTGCATTTTGACCTCAACAACAAATAGCACACAGACAACGTAAATTTTTGTTTTAGTCAATAAAATGCTTGGAGTGACTGCACTCTCCGTCACGTCCTTCTCTCTCTGAATGGGAGTCATATGTCACACGGGTGGTATGCACTTGGCAGGTAAATCTTTGGCCTTCAACGTCATCGAAGAGCTTTGCACCTTACGAATGATATGATCATCAATTATTCCAAGCCAGAGTAAAATGTGCAGTAATAAAAAAATGTTGGCGCACTTTTCACAATCTAACCGGTTCCATTTTTTACCATATTTAAAAAAGCTCAACATAGGAGAGAGGTGTTTAAACGAAAATCGAATGTGATGAACCCTCAACACACATTACGCCCCCAATTTCGGCTTCAGAAAGGTTGTTGATTATTATGGATCTTGTCACCTAGATCAGGTGCCTCGCTAAAGTGCAAGTTGTTGGCTCCCCATATTACTACATTACCCAAATCTAGTCACTACTTGAGTTATAAGGTACCCAGAGTAGACTAACCGAATTTGTTTATTCAAGGTTCAGATAAAATGTAGTTCAAATGCAGAACCCATTAGAGTGACACAAGGAAGGGAGACGCGCATTGCCTCCAATATGATTTCTACACTGGGAGTACTACATCAAATGGCAGGCGTCTTGATGGTTATCATCAGCCCTTAAGTTGACTTCAGGCTTCTCAGAGAGGAGGAGGAACATCAAAGTGGCAAAAAAGTGGAGACAAAGGTAGAAAAAAGGTGAGGTGAGTGCAGTGAAAGTAGTCGAATATGACATGCAGCGGGGTCATGGTAGTTTGAAGTCAGAAGTCAACTGTCAGTTAATAGACTTTTTGCCGTATGAGTATACGTTGTCCAGGGTGCACCACATGAAGGTAAGTCTATCACACACCCCTCTACTCTGGGAGTAAATGTAGATTGAGTACTTTATTCATTCTTTTTTCTTTTAATGTAATTAGCTATCAAATATTGAATACTTTATCATTTTCCGCTTAGTCGATAAAGTGACTATTATATTTTGTTTTAGAAGTGTGCATACATTTTACACTCACAGAGACATACGTTTCACCTTATTGGTGATTGAATTAGGAGGTTACTAAAGTCGAAAGAGAAAAGAATAATAAAGTGTATGAATCCTAGACTATGCCTGAGCTAACACTCGTCAAACTTCTTTTGATCATTGTAAAACAAAGTGGAGAGAAGGCAAGTTTGCGGTGGGGGGGGGGGGGGGTNTTTGGGGGGGGGGGGGGGGGGCGTTGGGGCAGGCTTATTGGGACGAAGCAGGACTCACAGGAAGATGGCGAGGGATAAATCGAAATGTGTTGAATGCTGGACAGAGTGTGCATGCCTTTGTTCATTTAGGTACGAAAAGAGAAGATCATTCCGACTCGAGATACTGGCCATACAGAGGGAGTGGATATTAGTTCCAGTTAGGGAGTCCGTGCTGATGACCCAGTTGTTGGACTCAAATTCTTGCGTAGAACCCTCAAATTATTTGGGGCCACAGCAATATAACCTGATTGTGGTGATTAATGGCGGACAACTCACTGCAACACTCGATTAAGACGTTGCCCTTGAATCAGGTTGAGAGTCCCTCGGCGAAGATTGTTGTTTGCTATTTGTTTTCATTGTTATACCCAAAAAAACATTTTAGAACTAACATTCTACGATTTCTGGTAGGAGCGTTGGAAATATATTTTGATCTTACCATCAAGAAACCGACACTTTGCTTCGTCTTAGAATAGGCAACTGTCTCTGATTCAAGAATAATAATTAAGCTAAAAATTTGATTACAGCTTTGATTGAAGATGTAAATTCCTATCCAAACATCCACACAGAATTAGGTAGTGCTTACCTTTAATTTATTTTCGGAATGAAATTAGTGTGTTTTGTCCACTGAACGGTGAACAATATAAGTACCTTTAGCAATTTCCTTTGTCTGTTATCTTCTGTTATGTCTCCTATCACTCACCAGTGTCGTAATTTTCAGAAATGTCGTTCGATTTTTATTTATTTCTGGAACATTGCCAACTAAGTTCTAAAGAATATGAAACAGACTGCAGTTATTCGCTTAACCATTATGTTTTAAAGATAATTTTTGGCACAAACAGTACACATTGTTGGCTTAAATAATGCCAGCAATGAAGTACTGCAACATATCTTCGCCTTTTAGTGTTTATGTCAAAAATTTCAGTTACTGGTCGAAGATGGTGGATTTTAACCTATAGTCAAAATAAGTCGAGGACTCAGTTCAATAACACAAATCTTGAAGGGAATAAATTTAAATTGGGTGTAACTAATCTGAGTTTATGGTTATCCAAATGGGGTGTGCGATAGACTTACCTCCACGTGGTGCACCCTGGGCAACGTATATTCATACGGTTAAATGTCTATTAACTGGCAGTTGACTTCTCACTTCAAACTACCATCACCCCACTGTATGCCATATTCGACTATTTTCACAGTACTCACCTCACCTTTGTTCTACCTTTGTGTCTGTCCCTTTTACATTTTCGAAACACTCTTCTGTTCCCCCCCCTCTCGACTTTTTTCAATTTGATGTTCCTTCTCCTCTGTGAAGCATGAAGTCAACTAAAGGGCTAATGATAATCATTAAGACGCCTGCCATTTTATATAAATGGTTATCCAAATGTACTTTACCATGAATAATGACTTCTGGAGAACAGAAGATTCGTTATATAACCAATATATGAAATGAATGTGAAGAGAAAATCCCTATGAAGGCGGATCAAACTAATTTCATACATATAATTACAGTCTGGACGGTGATTTGTGCTACCGAACGCGTAAGGGGCAAGTGCTGCGTGCGCACAGAGAGATATCAGCCAATCAGCAACCAACAGTCGGTGCAACATAGCTTGGCATTAACTGTACTTAATGTCTAATGACCATAAGTTTTTTAGCAAGGGTCATTCGCTTCATGCGCTCTGTCGAGGTAGCTTAGGTAGCTTCGGGAGCAGTTTTAAACTTGGCGATTTTGTCAGAGAAGATTGTTATGGCTCAGTCAGAGCGTTTATTTGTGTGATATCTATTAAAGGAGACAATATTTGTTACCTGCTATGGTCGCAGTCCTGGAAGGATGTATGCATAGGCGAATAATGATGCGGCGGCTGCGGCTGCGGCTGCGACGCATTATTATTAATGTCAGTGGTGGTGCCTGCTTGCCTACAGGCAGTGGCGCACTGCTGGCGTTGAGTTTTGGGGTGCGTAATAGACTTACCTTCACGTGGTGCACCCTGGGCAACGTATACTCGTACGGCAAAAAAGTCAATTTATCGGCAGTTGACTTCTGACTTCAAACTTCCATGACCCTATTGTATGTCATATTCAATCACTTCCCCCATACCTATCCTACCTTTTCTCTGCCATTGTGTCTGTCTGTCTTTTCAACATCTTTAAACACTCTTCTGCTCACCCCCCCCCCCCCCCCTAGACTTTTTTCGATTTGATGTTCCCCTTCATCCGTGAAGCGTGAAGTCAACTAAAGGGCTAATGACAACTATCATAAAGCCTGCCATTTGATATAAATAAATAAATATATTTGTTACCTGAGTTCCGTTCTCAATTTGAAGAAAGTTCACAACTCTTTCTTTATCGGTGAATCGCAATTTTTAATGCAAATGACATCCATTAATCAATTAAATATTTGAGTTCAGACAGATTGATGAGGTAGTAAACGCGCACCCAAGGCATCAATCATCACCCTTAATCACCCGACTTGTTTTGACAAATCAACCTACTTAAAATGAGTGGCGTCGAGTCACCCAGTCTAATTAAGAATCAAACAATCAGTTCTGAATTCTATGCAGACTAGGGTATGAACAGGCAACATCGTCACCTCGGGGACCTAAATGTCGTTCCGAGTGTTAATGAGCACGAACTCAACAGATCTTGTCAGTAACGGAGCCCCATAGACTCCACAATCACTCAAAATCCCGATTTATTATTGTTTACATGGAACTTATAAAACATGATGCGGCATTTCAATACACTTTCAGAAAATATTCTCAATGATTTTCAATTCTAAACAGACCACGGGTAATTTGAGCCAACATTAGTGGACTTTTCAAAGCTGCATTTTTAGAAAATTATTCACCAATATGCTAACCCAGCCTTCCTTTTCGCCACGAAAAATTAAGAGAACGGTGATATCATCAGTCACCATTCACACACTAACATTATCTGAGATCTAACTTTTGCGAAAAAATGGCACAACATTTCATGTTCATTCATGATAAATGGAAATAAATGTTAATATAACGAGGTGTGTGATAGACTTACCTCCACGTGGTGCACCCTGGGCAACGTATACTCATAAGGCAAAAAGTTTATTA